AGGCCTTGGAGTTGTGCTGCGGAGAAGATTGCACCTGACTCAGAGATGCGCTTCGGAACCATTCGCTATGATTCTGCAATTGCACAGCAGACTTGTGTAAGAAATGACGGCGGGGCACACAGCATAGCGAGGCACTGCCGTATGTCTCGTCAGCTCGTTCCGCTTGAAGTGTCGATGAGCTGCAGCGGTTGCAAGCATGTTGAGTTGCGCAGACTCTTCATGCTCAAAAGTGTTCGCTGGAAGTAAGGCTCCGCGGGTTTCGGCCAAGAGGAGGCCATGCGATTGTGTTTTGCGCTCTTTGTGTCCGGGCAACTGGCCCCGGCTTGAAAGATTGCAGCAAGTCTCTCGAAGGGGCAGAGCTTGCCATAGTCATAGTCACGGCGGAGCCAAATTGTTGGCCAGGTCCGTGCGATTTGCGAAGTGTTAGACCTCGTCGACGAGGGCGAAGCATACATCGTGCTGGCCTTGGCGGCATTGAAACCTAGTTCGAGGACGTAGGTTTGACTCTTGTTTCTCCGATGTTATCAGAAAAATGGCGTCAGCACATAAGTCCGTCACGATCTGCTAGATTCCGACCTTAGCCCGAAAACCTTCGCCCCAAAGCCTAGACATATCTGACCTGAGGCACAAATGCCCACAGGTAGCTCTGGCCTTGGTGGCTCACCCACGCTCCACTGTGCTGAAGCGAGCTTGGACGGCATGTTGCAACAGTTCGAAGGTTTCCACTGTCGTGCACTAAAGATCTCACACTCGATAGTCTCGTATGTGCGGCGTCTGGCCACGACCTTCATGGGTTCCACCCACCTACTGGGATTCACAGATATGACACACACAAACAAAGACACACACACACACACGCGCGCGCGCGCGCCGAGTCAGCTAAACATGTCAGACTCTTGCGGGGCATCTGCCACATTTAGATCACCTGGAGCATTCTGGAAAGCTTGGCAGAAAACGGTAAGCCGAGTAAGCCGTCTATAGAGTGTAGTTTGTAAGCACTAGCGCAGCAAAGGATCGCCTGACTCTGCAGTCTCCTCAGGTCGGGTGACCCTTGGCGGGCTGGAGCAGGCTTTGGTAACACAGGAATTCTTCCGCATGCAGCAGGCCGGGAGAGTAGCGGTGGCATTTGGTTGAAATGCGGAAGCCCTGAGAGCCTGCAAGGGGCGGTTCTTCGTGGCCCTCGGATTGGCTGAGGCAGAGCATCTCCGGGGTGCTCTGTGCACGGCCTCAGTCTTCCAGTGCCATGCCGAAGACACGTGCGATCTTCCTGCCGACTGCCAAGGCACCTCATAGCGGGGCAGAGCTGGTTGCAAGACTGCTGCGTGGCATTGAGGTGCGTTGGACTTGCTTATCCTTCATGGCACGACGACATTCGGAGGGCTTCTTTGTTTATCAATAACTTATTTTCTATGATATATGCCATGTAATGGTATGTATGTACAGTATGTGTATAAAGATATAGATGTTATATTATACATGTGTAAACTGTTAATTCTGATACCATATATATCATCCGTCTACCTACCTACCTACCTACCTACCTACCTACCTACCTACCTACCTACCTACCTACCTACCTACCTAGTTGTCGATCAATGTCTATCTCGACCTCTGTATCCATTTCTATCTCCGTCTGTATCTATACTTAAACCCATATCTATACGCCTGTATCTATATCAAAGTGCTAAATTCACAAGTGCGCGTGTGCCATTTGGGTTTGTGCCTTCGATCTTTGGTTGACACCTGCCTCTGGCATCGGCCAGGGTGTGGACTGTCAACCCGTCACGAACTGCGAAGGTGCATTCAATGCAAGGAGTCGGTGAACGAGTCGCTGCTGGATTTTGTCGGTCCAGTTCGGGAGAGTGTGATGCCCAGTCAGTCGAAGGAAGTCTTGGCTTTCTATTCCCATGCCGATGGGTTGGGCCGCTTCTCTTCATAAGTTCACTCCGCCTTTGTGACGTGCAGGCACCCATAACCCCTTAGTTGGACAACTTGTGTCGGCAAGACCTACATTGTAGATCATGCTGCACGACCTAGCTTGCGGCATGATGAGGTTCGGAGCTGGGCTTTCAGCTGCAGGCCTACGTGCGCAGGTTCAGTCCAGGTTTTCAAAACACAAAGGCCAAGCCGATTTGTCGATTACCTGCTTAATTACTACATGAGACTACGGTCAAACTTCATACTCCCCTGAAGTTGCATCCTATGAGCTAGTGCCTGGGAGCTTTCAAGCTCAAGCAGAAGAGTTTATGAAGTCTGTACAAGATGTAAAAGAAGCATTCAATTTGCAGTTTGGCGGCGCATCCTGGTTCCGGTTAGTCGCAAAAAAGCAGCGACTGCAGTTTGCCATGCTTCAGCTGCGGTGTGCATATGAGTCCATGGACCTGAGTTACCTTGTCCAGCTAATGCTCGACTCCCGCTTAAGCTCTGCCATGCATGATGCATGCCTCCCGTGCTCGGGACCCGAAGCAGCAAAAGCCGGGGGCCCTGAAGGCAGCCGAGAAGCTCTTGCGTTTCTTGGACAGCGCAGAGGACTTCCAGGCGATTTCTTGCTTCCAAGGCTTAACGACGAGAGAAGAACGACCACCATGGGGAGAGTGGAGTGAATCGGAAGTAGAAGCTGGTTGAAAAGGGTACGATGACATATACTGATAACGAGTGCTGGCGATAAGCAGCAGCATCATCTGTGCGTGACTGGTGCTACGAGTCGCGTTTGAAATCTGCATTGTAGCGATAACCTTGAGTGCCACATAAGTCATCGTTATTTCATGAGATCGACCCCTGCCTCGCATACTGCTCGGCGGCCACGTTGCCGTCTTTGCAGGGAAGTAGACGTTGGGAGCAAGTTCTGAAGCTTTCGGATCAGGGGCTTGGGGACACCCTGCCGTTTCAGTGATAGTGTAAGGAGCGTGCTGGGCACTGTGCCATCCGTAGCGCCTTCATCAGTGCAAAGCCGCTTCTGGCAAACTCCCTTGTGGCAGGCGAGGGAAGTCAGTGTCCTACTTCGATCACTGCAGCTTACCCGGACGCAGGAGCCGCCAGGTTTGTACAAGTTCGGTCGTATCACAGGGTTACCTGTCCTGCTGTTGCCACCGCACTCCGAGGACCGCCTCCCTTGGTGGCTAGATGTTCGCGCATGCCGGCGCCGAGCTCACAGGCCAGAGTTAAGTAGCATCTTTGAATCTTATAGACTCTTCCTGCCTCTTGCCCACACAGCACGCGGTCTTCGTGTCTCGCTGTGAACGATGACATGTCCAAGACCAAAGTCGCATCATGCCAGTCTTTGCCTGCAGGTCGCTGTCGCGAACAGTGAGCAACATGTCTGTTTCTGTTCCGTGGACCAGGCACTGGCAACGCCTGGCAGTATCGAAAATCTTCTTGCAGACTGACGAGTTCGAAGATTGGGCTACCAAGGCGCTTTGGCTTAACCGGACTCTTCACAGCTCCTGTCATAGCAGGACGTTGCAGCTTCGGAAGTACTGCCGAGAGAGCCGCATCCACTGCAGATCCCACGATGAGAACATCTGAACCCAAGCATCCAGACGCAGCAGAAATTGACAGTCAGAGCAGAATGGTCGCCACGACCCATTGGTTTGCGCTTTACACAGCTCCAACAGTGTAGAAAGGCTTCTGCAACAAATCGGTAAACGTGTTGATGAGTTGGACGGGGGATGTGTTACACAGGGTGTCACCGCGCAGAGAAGAGGACTGCATGTCGATGTCCTGCAGGCCCTTCTTCTGCGGCTTCGCTGGACGTTGGCAGCGCAGCGGCTTTGGCCCAGCGATGCTTTTCGCTTCATGGACACCCTTCAACAGCCCTCCCTAAATCGAACCAGGAACCTCGCCAGGCTTGTCCGAGTTGTGAGTGCTGAAAATCGAAATTTGCATCAGCACCGATGAACTGTTGAACGCCTGGCACATGCTTGATCATCCTTTCCTTCATGGAGGGACTTTCTGGACTTCCGACATTGGCTTTAGGCTTGAGATGGCTGGAGTCTGGAGAAGAGCCACGGAGTTGTTGTCCTCTTGAGTATGTCAGCTTCAGATGACGCGAGAAGCTTGTCATACTTTGGCATTGGGTGCATTGGTGCATCAATGGCCTGTCTCTCCGAACCCAACAAAAGCTGCCGAGCCATATTCACCGATAGAGATGCGGTTTGCCGAATCATCCTCGGAAGCATTCTACATGCAAGCTCATTCATCAACTCGGCAATGATCCAGGACGCCTCAAACAACGGCTGCCTCCAGAGACGCGATCTGTCTGCAGGTGCGATTGCCAGACATGCAGGGATCACGTTATCGGTTATCCTGTGCACGCTTTCCTTTCACGCGGATGCGGAGTAGGACTGGCTCCATTACGGATGCAATCAGGGGGTCGTTAATCTCTTGGATTGGCGGGCCGGGTAATACTGCGATCAGACTCCAGCAAGGCTCCCTAGGCCCTTGTTACTCCCCGCCCCTGTGCCTGAGACATCCTGAGACGCGCCAGGCCTTGAGAGCTTGGGGGCCAGGAGCCCGTTCTGAGCACGCTTGACTTCATGTGCCCAAAGCCCTGCGAGGTTCGAAGGGAAGGGCTCCATGACGCTCGCTGGGCACAGCAAGTTGCAAATTTGCAGGGGTCCCAGATCTTACGGCTTGACTGCTTTCTGATGCGCCCTTCTACCATCCTGTCTTTTCTCGGTTCTGTCGCCTAAACTTAAGCCTGGACGGCAGAATGCTGGATGGACTAAATGCTTTGATGCATCGGCAGAGTCGGCAGGCTCATTGGGCGTTGAAGTTGTGGCATCTCCGATAGAGTTTGTGACAAATGAATGAGCCTGTTGCTATCATGTCCATGCTGATTTGGATATGGGGGGGGCTGTGTCAATTTTCTGTTTGCCGCGTGCGGCAGCAGTCAACGTCTTCGAAGTTGGCGCATGAGGAATGTCTACTGTGTTCTCATGAGTTTGTAAAAGGGCTTGCCTGCCCAGCGCCTGTGCGTGGAGCGAACGTTGCTTAGCCAGGTTCCGCTGGATTGCGCAGGAGGGGCGCGAGGTGGGACCTGGCCTAAACTCAAGACCTCGACTTCTTCACTTAAGGCTACAGCACTCGGCTCCAACAGTCTTCAGCCCAGTTGTCAGAAGGACAGCTTCGACGGTAGTTAACATGTGTCGCCCGTCTTTGTTCTGGTTCTTCATTGCTCCAGCATTTGGCTCTTGAGGTTACGAAGTTTATCATGTCACGATTTGCTGTGAAAAGGTCCTTTTTCTGGAAGACTTCCGTGCTGCCCTGGAGCTACATGACACGACTCTGGAGGCAAAACCCTGTGCTGGGTCCACCGCAGGCTAAGCAGGGCCTAATCTCGATCCGTTGCCAGGGTCATCAAAGCTTCTCGGCTGCAGCTTCCCCAGCCTCGCGAGCCTCGCCAGCCTCTGGGTCCGGGCCCGAGGCCCTGAAGCGAATTCGACGCAAGTCTTCTACAGCCCCTGAAGCGGAGAAACTGAAAGGTCAGAGGCAAAGGAGACTGCATCCACAAAGCCCCAGCGACAGGCCAGGAGCAAGGGTTTAGTGACTGTAGTCGCTTTGTTCTGCAGAGTCTGCATGGCAGCAGCATAGATCTATTCACATTCACACACCGTTTGCGTTTGCAGGAGGCTGCAACTCCTCCAGCCCCGACATCCGAGCTATCAAGAAAAAGTGCAGGTGAAGAAGGCCTCAGCAATGCTCTGTTTCGATCTTTTTCTCTGAAGTCTCCCGCAGATCCAGTACCTCCTGCACCTACCAAGACCGCCGAGGAGGGATCCGCGAACCCTCGGCCGGGGCTCGGCGTCTATGCCCCCGCTGAAAGTAGACACAAGCAGCTTTCAGCCCATTTTCGTGAAGGCAAAGTGTCCAATCTGCTCAAAGAGTCGGGGTTCGATGATGTAACAAATACGGAAGAGACATCTCTTTACATCTTCGAGCATAAGCATGCTTGATACCCATCGGGCGCGTGGATGACTGCCTACGGTCTGTCCGAACTGTCTGCTCAGGTAAGTTGGACTTTCCTGCTTCTCTGGCAAGCCCACCAAGCCTGTGTTGAAAGAACAGCAGCTCTCCGAAGCAGAATCGCTTCTCGGCAGGACTATCCCGCTTCACCAGCTGCGGCATCACCCTTGACAAGGACGGAGATCTCACATAGGGCTAAACGCATGCGTAGCCTGAAGCCAAAAAAACGTCACGGCGGCTGGTTTGCCTGCTCCCACACAATTCCACACACTAGGACCCACTGGTAGCACAGCGGAAGTGCCCATATGGAGTGTTGAACAGCCCACGGCCGCGCCCCAAGCCTGGACAAGTCGCAGGCCGCGCACACCGAGCTGCTCCCCGGAGGGCAGTGCACTTCCCTCGGTAGTGCACTGCTGTCGGCACGCACGCGGATATTGCATCTTGATCTTGGGCCAACTCTTTTGATGTTTCCTCATCGGTAGACGAGATTCAAGGTTTCTCGACTCTCTCCGGACATGTGTCGGCAGCTGTCGGCTTCTGCCTGAGATTGGCCTGTTCAGCCAGTATCCGCAGTGCCCGTGAAGCCCGACGCCCCATTTGAGCCGGTTTCCTCGGAGCCCTGCGTGCAAGGCTGGCCGTTTCAAGCACAAGTGGCAAAAGCACTCCGCGCCCGGGCGCCTGGAGATCTCGGAAGTTCAGGGCTTATGGCTGCACCCATCAGGGCTTGCCAGCTGATGTCAATCAGCAAGTATCAGCAGGTAGCTTCGTTGTTGCAAGCCAGCATCGGGAGTCATGACGGCGTGGCAGGTTCCACCCCGTGTGGTTCGCCAACGATATGGGTGCCAAGCCTTCTCTTGCGATTTGGGCGCCCATTGAGTTGGGGCCTGAGCTCAGCAATTTGATTGTTCCATCGGACACTTTCGGCACGAGGTACACCTTGCCCCTAGGACTAGGACATGGCAGATGGGTAAGGATGCGGACCTGTGCCAGAGCGCGCTGTTAAACTCCTTTCCACAAGATCATCTGCTCTTCCGGCAGCCACCCCCTCACCAGGGCCAATTCCGCGAATACAGGAGTCAAGAAGTGACCCAGAGCCGATGACCCAACCCAAGGAGGCGCGCCCTCGGCTCTCGGGCCTGCAGACAGAAAAGCAATGGCTTGAAGTGTTGCTTTGACTCTTTTGCTCAGCGCTGTCCCGAGGCTCGTTCCACGCGGAAAGTTTCTGGGCGTGAAGCGAGGCTGGTCAGGGCTGTTCAGAGATTGCACCTGGTTTGTGTCGCCCGCAGGCTCCCATGCAGTCAAAGAGAGGCTTTCGTTTGGACATTATGCCCGGGCCGCAGACATTCGTAGGTAGCAAGTGATCTGCTCAAATGCGCGAAATGTGGATCCAAGAAACTCAGGTCAGCATGAGCCCTTCACCGCCAGTGACGGAATTGTTGGAGGCCCGTCAGCAGGATCTTTTCAGAGAATCCGAGTCCGTGTCTTCATTTTCGTTTTCTACAGATGCAGATTCACAGGGTTTTGGGTGCGCGGTGCTGCCTGCTTAAGACTGAAGGCAGTTCTGCATGAGCAAGGAGCCGGCATCAGGCTGTCAGATGTTGTAGACATTGTAGACTCAGACTTGAACGAGTGCGAAGCCTAATAAGCCCCTGGCCGCGGCCTTTCTCATCATGATGATGTGATGAGCAAGCATCTGTTGGAACAATGGCACTGCAGCGGCTTGACCCGCAGGGTGCGAGAGTGTGTGTGTGTGTGGCGACGTTCTTGAGGTCTTTGTATCTAAAACTATTTCAATCTAGCAGCTAGCATCAGCCAGGGATCCTGTTCCAGCTATGGTTGCGCAGATTCTCGTCGGAATTTAGACAACAAGGGGAATTTATGACATGCCGTTACTGTCCGGCCCTGGCAGATCACGGATGAGCAGTACAGTGGCTTCTTTGCGAAGCATCCGCGGGACTGGGTATTGGGCTCGCTGTTGCCCCTCGTAAGAGCCAGAAGACTCTAGCATGCTACCTGACAACCTGCAATGTGGCATACGAGGGTCCCGAGATGATGCTTTTCGTTACGAAATGGTTGCGCACCGAGAGTGATACTCGAATCGAAACGCTCACATCAGCCCCAACTTGCTCTTGCCTCACTTCTTACTGATGCTTCCTGCTGCGATCTATCTTTCCCAACAGAGACCTGCGGCAATTTGTGAATTCCTACAGAGTGGGTCTCTATGTTCAGGAACACGGAGCCATTAGGACGAAGCTTCCTTAGCTTGGGAGCTCACCCCCCGCTCGCACAAAGCTGCTGAATCGAAGGACGAACTCAACCGTTTTCTGGATACTTACTTTCCACATCCGATTCGCTTCCGGCAAGTTTGGTGCTCATCTCAGTTCGTGGGATTGCGCACGATCCACAGTCCTGGAGGTCCTTCGAGCGTGCAGGCTGTGTTTGCCATATCAGCATATCGTCGGTGCCTGATCTAGGCCAGGGCTTTGAACATCCGCAACCTAACAAAGCAAGCCTTGGTGTGTATGCGCAGGGTGCTGGTGCTTGTGACTCGTTTGAGGGTCGGCAGAGGGGCCTGCAGTCAGAGATCTTGCATGAGCTGTGCCCTCAGGCACTTGAAAGAGTCGGCGCTGAAGTCTGTGTGGCTTGGCACAAGCAGGGGGTCCGACATTCGGAAGTGATCTGTCTTCGTTACCAGTGCATTTGCAAAGCCTCTTGTGAAGTAATGAGAGCTTTGTGAGGCCATTCTATCTGCAGCAGTTTGTTATGGTTTGTTCGCAGAAAGGTACATTTGGGCCCCGGTGCCCCCATCACCGGACTTCACGGCATGCGGCATGCTGTGCACGACCGATGACGAGGTCTGCAAGCACATGTGCCCGAAAGAAGCATGTGTGCATGTAGTCGTTCGGGCTATTTGTCGTGGATTGCACTAGTTTTACTTTCAGATGTTCCCGCAGGCCCCCGCGCTGCAGGAAGTGCGCTGCCTTCCAAGGCCGTGGTTGCTCTAGAGAGAGACATGGATGAGAGCCGGGCGGCGTGACCTGCCCCTCTAACCCGAAGGACGAAGAGAGAGAGAAAGAGAGCGAGAGCGCAAGAGCGACCGCGATCTCTGGCTTCCCAAGCCGGCAGAGAGAGCGAAAGAAACAGAGGACGAAGCCTCCACCAGACGGCTCGCATGAGCAGAATTCGACAAGACGTTACGTCCGCACACACCGTCGGATCGGATTCCTTGAAGTCCAACAACAAAGCCGCGACTCCATCGTTGCACGGATTTGGCTCAAGTTCCAGTCCCGTAGCCTCGTTCCACCAGCTACTAGCATCATCATTGCCAAGCAACTGAGCAAGAGTATGCCCTGACAACACTCAGGTGTCATGGTTTTTCGTCTGTGTCGGTCATACTAAGTGTGTAGAGTAGGGCGTAGAGAGCGAGTTCAAAAATGGGCGTGATTTGTTTGTCCCTCGGGGTCTGTCCGTAAGCCGTGGACCAGCATGATGAGTACTGATGCCTGCGTACACATGCACAGACAGCAACTTTTTTTTGCAGTTGCATGCGGTTGTCAAGCTTGAGGCGCACTGCAACTGCTCAGCCCGTGCAGGGCTGTATAGGGATTCAGGCTTGTACAGGCGCCATCCGACGTCCTCCGCACGAAGGCCGCATGCCGCGCTTTACACGGCTGCGGACGCTTTGCGGTTTATGTGCGTTCATACTGACGCTCGCCTTCATTAGCTGCTTTGAGGTTGCTTCTGGGCCAAGCTCTTCTCGGATTTGCATGGCAGTTTATGCTGGCTAGTTGCAGAGCCCATGGACTGCCGGTGCGCACACGCGCGCAGAGCCTAGGGCAGGACGCACCCTACAGGCTCCCCACCTGGTAGATAGAGAGAGAGAGAGAGAGAGAGAGAGAGAGAGAGAGAGAATCAGTGTGATCGTAGTCGTAGCCATGTTGGCTCAAGCCGCAGGCTCGCGCCAAGTGGCTGCGGTCGCGTCGCACGGCCCGCGTTCACCCTAAACCCAAGCCCTTCTAGGCTCCAGGTCTCCCGTGGCTTCCTGGAGCCCAGGTGGCCGGAAGGGGGGGTCTCCGCACGTCCCCAGGGAAGTAAGCGACTTTATTGGTTTTCAGGGCGGCGACTCTGCTTTGCTGGCCTCCTTCTAAAGCCACTTGTCATGGCCGACGTTAAATGCCCCGAGTCCTGCCGGGTGCTAAGAGATCCGTGCGTGTGACTCGGGGTCAGACTCTTGTCTGGCGTCGTGCCACAAGTTTTTTACGGACCCTCGCCATACCACAGACCACAGAGGACAAGACCCAGCACGGCAGCCCCAACCAGCCATGATCCACAGCAACACCCACCCCCAGCATCTACCACACACCATCACGCAGACCATGCAGGCAACGATGGCATACCCAACCGCTCCACTCGAGCCTCCCAGCAAACAGCCGCGCAGCCACAATCGCAAGACCCTACCAGCCAACAACAGCGATAGCAGACGCAACTACCAAGAGCGGGGCCACTTCACCCCACCCCGAACCACAGCCGCTTCCAGCGATCCCACCAACAAAGCCGCACAGCAACCGCAAGCTCCGCCACCACCCATCCGCAGCAGACCTCACCTCACACCACACCGCAGCAAGAGCCAGCCAGCTCCTTGACGGACCTGGCCCCCCCATGAGACAGGAAGCCCCCTCCGATACCAGAGGCACTCCGCGGAGGCGGCAACAGGGAAGCTCAAGCTAGTCCGACTCGGGAAGCGGGGCCTGGAAAAGCTGGCGAAGCGACCCCGGCATGGGGGAGCACCACACCCGCAATAAAGCCAACAGAAGCCACATCCGCCGAGTTCATGCGGCGTGGATGGAAGAAATTTACCAGGACACCTGGCAACCCTCCTCAACCTTCACCTACAATCCGGAAGCACGGGCCCCGCGACTTCCTCAGCCACAGCCAACCGCGACACCGGAACAGCGGGGACGACCACCACGACCCAGCAACGGCCAGGGACGACCACCACGACAGAGCGCCCCAAGACCAACAACAGCACAGCAGTGCAGCCAACCCAGCCACAGCAGAGATCCGCACACCACCAGACCAGCACCCGAGACCAGACGAGGACCCCACGTCCAAAACGCGGACACACGCAACGCAGCAAGCAGCCGCACGAGCCAACTGGAGCCGCCCCGCGACATGCTCCCCCCCCATACCCAAGCCACAGCAGCCACAGCCCCCGCACGCCCACAACCCCCACCTTGGCACACAAACCAGCCCGCCTACAGGCGCCCCCCACCGGTACAGCGACAGCGCCGGTTAAGAAACAGATATTTTTTTTCGTGAGGGGGGGCTCGAT